GTGATATGGAGCTGGAAGCAGAAAAATCCATCAAAGGACAAAGCCAAGTTAGGAAGTTCAGGAAGAGTTCAGGGGCCAGTGGAGGGAGGGGCTGCTCCACAAGGGTCTCAGGCAAGGAAGTGGACCCCCACCACTGGACACCTTGGGCACCGCGTCCTCAAGTGGGCCCCCTAGCAAAGCTGTTCCTCGGCGTTTGGGCCACGCCCTGCTGTGTCACACACTCTCACAGGACCTACTTCTTCCTGCCTGAGCACGGGCCTCAGTTTGTAAAGGTGAGTCACAAATGTGAGTCACTGGCAGTCTCACCCTTGGCCGGGAAGCCCCATGAGAGCAGGGAGTGTACCTGTGTTTGGGGTATGAGGATACCCCACAACCAGCATGCTGCCAGGCACGTGGGAGCACCCAACAAAGATTTGTGGGATGGATGATGGGATTATTCAGGACTCTCTCTCCTAAGTGACCTCATCCATAGCGACGGCTTCACCACCCTCTAGAGGCTGATCACACTCAATGGCTCTGTCCAGCCTGGTTCTCTCCTCCAGAATCAAGAATCCAACAGTCTACTCAATGTTTCCACATGAAAACATTAGGAAATCTCAATTGCACTCAACAGGTCTGAAGGGAGCTGGTGCACTCCCACCCCCACCAGTCACTCCGCCAGTATTCTTCACCTCGGGAATGGAACCCTGTCCTCCTGAAGCACAGCTGCCGCTCTCGACATCTCCCTCTTGCTCATTCCTGCACCTCCTACCCATCACCAAGCCTTTCATTTCATCCTCTAAATTCTCTGGATTACTACCACTTCTCTCCATAGACCACAGTGGTCAAGATGACCTGGAGATGGGTTGCCTTGGTTTGAAAACAGAATCCTCCACTTACTAGACATTTGCTTCACTCCTCTGCACTTAATTTTCTTATAGATAAAGTGGAGATAATAACAGTGTGTATTTCATAGGGTTCTTTTGAGAATTCAATAAGATAATGCATATCATGTGCCTTCAAAAGTGCTATCACCACCTCCGTCACCACCGTCACCATCATCATCACCACCACCACCATCGTCATCGTCACCACCATCACCACTACCGCCATCATTACCATCATCACCACCACCACCATTACCATTTCCGTGGCTACAACCCTCCTCTACACACCTGTCATCTCTCGTCTGGATCACTGCAATAGCCCCTAACGTCTCCCACCTCCATTCTTGCCTTCGTCCAATCTATTATCCCAGTCTATGTAACCCAAGTGATCTTTAAAAAACACAATCTTCTGCCACTCATATGTCTAAATTTTATTAGTGGCTTTCTGCAGGAGTTGAAATAAAGACCAAAGTTGTTAACATGGTTTAAATAGCCAACCTTGGCAACTCTTAGCCTCGAAGCTGCCATGTGCCTGCCCATTTCGTGAGCTTCACATATGCTGTTCCCTCTGCTGGTTCCATTGTTCCTATTGCCTTCTCCTCTGTCCTTCCCTTCCCGGTCAAACCCTCTCTGAGATGTTGGTTACAGTCATTGTCTTCACTCTCCCAACCACTGCACAGTGGCTTCGGCCCACATCTCTCCACTGGAACTGCCCAGCCAAGGGTCACCCACGGCCCCTGCTGCTGAAGCCAGTGAGCCTATTGCTGGCCTCATCTGACCTGACCTTTCTGAGCGTCTGACACTGCCAGCCACTCTTTCCTTAAAGGCCCCTCTGCCTCTGGCCACCCTGTTGGTTGTCTTGGTTCTCTTCATCTTTCTTTAACTAATTTTTCTCTTTTCCTTCATGTACTCCTCTTTTTTCCTAATTGAAACTCATTTTCCTCTCATTCTGCTCATTCTCCCTGGATGATCCTGCCTACTTGCATGGCACCCATCACAGAATGAGTTTCGAATCCTTGTCTCTCCATCCTTTCTCCCTCCAGAGCTCCAGACCCTTGTTTCTCCATAAACACTTCAAACACAATGCATGTAAAGCTGAAATCTAAGAACACCCTTACTTCCCTGTTCAGATCTCAATGAACGGCACCAGCACCCATTCAGCTGCCCGAGCAGAAGCTTGAGTCACCCTTGCCTCCTTCTACTCTTTCCCTCCCTACTTCTAGTTAATCATCAGATTAGTTCTGTTGACTCTGCCTCCTTCGATGCACTCAGACCTGTTGACTTATCTGTCCCCAATGCCGCTCCCTTGGCCAAGTCTTCACCATTTCCTCCCACTTCACGGCCACAGCTTCCTAACCCACCTCCCGTCACAGACTTTCCTCTCTCCAGTCCTCTTTGCGCTGCTGTCAGAGTTTAGGGGGGAAAGTTCCCTAAAGGATTTTCCAGAGAACTAGTGGTCCAACTTTTAAAATAAGGGTTTCTTTAGGCAAATGAGAAATGGCTTGAGCAAACATCACCTCTGTGGGCCTTTCTTAGGGATTCACCAGGCATATCGGCCTATTTAAGGTTCTGAGAAGTCTTGCTGTAAGAGAATCTGTTCAGAATTTTTTCACCAAGCACTTTCCAAACTTCTTTGACCATAAAACCCTTTCTCCAGGGAGTACTTCTTAACACCTTGCAGAACACTACATGCTATTTTAAAGCACAGATCTGATTAACTTACTTCTGTGTTTGAAAATAAAACAGGTAAGTGGATAAATATTGAAACAGGCCAATTTCAACTTCATTCTCTGAGCAGTTAGAGACCCTTGGAGATTCCTGAGTAGGGTAATGACCTAATACCCACATGATCAATAGCTTCCAGTTACCGAGCGAGGTGCTCTGTGCTAGGGGCTTTCTCACCTACCATCCCTAATCTTCACAAGGCCACAGGTGGGCAAGATCCCCAAGTGAGGGGACCCAAGCCCAGATCAGCTAAGCATTAGGTCCAAGGCCACATGACCAATATGAGTGAAGCAGCATTTGGCCGGAAGGCTTGGTGGCTCTGAATTCACAGCTGTTTGCAACAAGCAGGTGACATTTGACCTGCAGGAGACATTGGAAGCAGGTGAACATACATTCCTAGAGGGCAGTGACTTCTTTCTTATGTTCTCCACCTCTGTCCTCACACCCCTCCAGCTATACGTCCAGGACCAGTATCCGTTCTTCTCAAGCCTGGGTCCCACCATACTTCATGCAGGCACTTTGTACTTTTCCCCTTATACACCTGCGGGACATCATACAACTCCAGGAGAATCTCTCCCCTGCTTAAAAGCTACGTGCTGTTCCCTAGTGCCTGTCCAACTCTGAATTTCTCAGCCTGATATTCTAGGCCCTCTGCTATCTTCCATCAAGTTTCCTTTTTGATCTTGACTTCAGATACTTTTCTAAATGTAACCCGTGCTCCACTCAAACCCAAAGACTCCCCTTTCAGCAGCCTCTGGTCTTTGTTTGCGCTGCTCTCTCCACCTGGAAAGCCCGCTCTTCTACCTGGTGCTGCTGCTGTAAATCCCACCTGTCCTTCAGGGCTCTTTCACAGCTAACTCCACAGAACATGTTCTAATCTGAATGAACCAGATGCTCTCTGTTTTTCAGCACAGAAGGACAATGAGATGCCTCCCCCGCCCCCCAACTTGGAAATTCTGAAAGTTAAACTTAGTAAAATTCACAGTGGATGGCATCAGCTCTCTGCAAAAACGATACACACAAAGTAAGACTCAAGAAGTAGTAAACTAAAGAGACATGAAAACACTCTACTGGTTGAAGGTGGCCAGGGCTTCCTCTTGGGACACAGTTGTGCTCCCAAATCAGAAACCGTATGACAAGCAAAGAAGACCTTCATCAAATCGGTCACAGAAAACAGAGACAGTCAACTCAACCAAAACCAGTGGTGACAACTGGCTAAGACAGGGAGTGGATCAGTCACATTCTGCTCAGGTGTGTGGAGGGACCACGTGTGTTGTAACAGATGGAAGGCCGCCAGGGGGATGTGGCCAGGACATGGCCAGGGTGCAGTAGCACTGACCACAGGAGACACTTGCTGAGCTTGGGGACACTGACTTTTAGGACTCAGGAAGGGCTGGTAATGAGATGGAGATGGCTCACACAGTGACCTTGGACCTGGTTGTTGTCCCAAATGTCTCCTGCTTCCTTTATTCTAATTACAAACCTACCAGGCAACCTTCTAAGAGCCAACCGGGCTTCCACCTTCAGAAAGGAATACTCGGGGCAGTTGAGAGGTGTATCCTGCTTGTACCTATGACAGGGGGCTGTTGGGAGAATTTAATGTGACAATGGGTGTGGAGAGATCGATCCAAGCTGCCGGGCTTCCACCTTCAGAAAGGAATACTCGGGGCAGTTGAGAGGTGTATCCTGCTTGTACCTACGACAGGGGGCTGTTGGGAGAATTTAATGTGACAATGGGTGTGGAGAGATCGATCCAAGCTGCACATAATAATTGTTCCATAATGTAGGAGATTAAAATCAGTCAGTACATTGGAACTTTGCTTTTGTGACAATTTCATATACATTTGGCTAAGGCGAACTGGCATCCTGGTGTCTGGGTGCCCTGATGATGATGGGAACCAGGATCTGCAAAACAGATTCTGTGACCCTGGATGGGAATGCACCAGTTTAGGTGTTGCCTCAAACACGGCCTGGCAATGCCAACTGCCCGGCCTGCATCGTCATCCTCCAAATGCCCAGCAGCTCCCTCCTCCAAATGCCCAGCACACGTCTCGTACTGTTTTTGTTTAATGCAATCAGTTGTGTGTCTCTCTAATTCCAGTTCCATCAAAGTGTAGACTCCCTGAGCATGGGAGCTTCTAAGTCACTTGCAGAGCCTCAAGTGTCATAAATACTTAATGAGTTGAAATGAATGTTATCAAAAGCCAAGCGAATGATCAGGCATTCAAACTCGGGCTGGAACATCTGTCTCCGAGGCTACTAGAGAGGTGGGATGAAGGCGCCTGGAGGGAGGGGACACCTGCGGGGCCAGCTGAGAGCACAGGCCCCAGGCCACCACACCCCTACCTAGGCTGAAGGCAGGAGGGGAGAGGGACAGATGCAGGGAGGGACAGATGTCTCCGCACTCACCCGGATCTCCGTCTGGACGGTGCATTTGACCAGTTTGAAGTTCTTCCCGGGATTAATCTCCGTACTCACCCGGATCTCCGTCTGGACGGTGCATTTGACCAGTTTGAAGTTCTTCCCGGGATTAAAGCTGTTGCTGTGGAAGCAGACCTTGAGGATGCGCACGTCCTCCTTCTCCACGTCCACTGGGACCCCCACCATGGGCTCTGGAGGGCCTTCAGGCCGGCACAACGTGCCCACCTTCACTCGGCTCAGGGGCTCAGACACCCCAGACATCCTCTTGGACAGCAGCTAGGAGCAGCACATCGCAGTTCTACAGAGACAACAGAGGGACAGCCCTGAAATGAGTGCCCACAGGTCCACCTGCCTCAGCCCCCCAGGGACGGCACCCACCGAGCTCTGAGACGGATGACATGTTCTCCCATTCCCAAAAACTCCCCTTAAAGGCATCCAGCTTTCTTGACTGGGAAAGAAGAAAGAAGCAGGCTGCATAGACAGGCAGGTATAAATTCCAGGCTTGGAGCTCCCAGGCGTGTGAGCTCTCTCTTCTGGAAGCCCCTCTCTCCATCATACCCCACCCCCCACCCCCCGGCTCCCAGCCAAGGGGCCCACGCTTAGCCAAGCTTTGCGAGGAGGCGGCTGCAGCGTGGTTCCAAGGCGCAGCTGAGCAGAAAAAGCTCAGAGCGAGACAGTAGAAAATAGGAGAGAAACAGGAGAAGGGGGAAAGCTACAAAGAAACAGAATCAGGGAAGGGGCAGCATCAAGGGAACCGGAATGGAGAAGGGGGGAGAGGGCCCAGGTGGTGGGTGGGGGGCAGGCTATCAGCTTTGTTTGCCCCCACCCTCAGCTGCCAGCCAGAACTGTCAGGGCAGGAGGCCTCCATCCCACAGGGACTGTGCATATAGAACATGACGCATTATCCACAGAGAATTCAGGAGAAGCAGCACGCTGCCCCGGCTGCCTAGTGTGGAAGGTCACTAAGGCGTGGAGAGGGGCATGGGCTGGCTTGACACAGGTGTAAACTACAAGAATCCTAGGAATCACCCTGAATCTCAGCAAAATTGGCCTCTAGATCCAATACGACTCTCTGGGGCTTACTTCCCACTGACCTGGAGCAGTGGCCTAAGGAAGTCATGGAATTTCTAGCTCTAGACGGGGGTGCCAGCCTTGGCTCCACATTAGGGTCACCTGGGACACTTTAAGAAACACTAGACCCAGGTCCTATCCTCAGAGACTGCCGCCGAATTGCTGTGGGGTGAGGCCTGGGCATTGGTGCGTTTTGTTTCTCAGGATCTTTGCAACATTCATCCTGGGCTGGGAACCACTGTTCTAGAATGAGCTCAGCTCTCATCCCTAAACCCATTCTTACAGAAAAATACCCTCCCCTATCAAGAGACTGTGATGTTAGGAGGAAATTTTTGAACCAGAAGTTGAGGGCAGAATGATGGAGTTGGCGATGTAACGTACAAATGAGGAGTCAAATATTTTTAAAGTGGAATCACAGTCTGTGTTTATTTGTTCACACTGTGCTGGGCACTAGAAAAGAAAGATTTAGACAGTCATTAGCTTCAAGGAGCCATTCCTTTCAAAAAGTAAGCATGTACCATATTGGTTAATTTTAGATATCACCTGGATTCGATGAGGGAACTCCTGGTGAACCGGTAAAGAGCTACTTCTCGAGGTGTCTGTGGGGGTGTTTCCAGCGAGATCGAGTGTGAGTCAGTGGACTGAATGGGGAAGGAGACCCGTGCTCAGTGTGGGTGGGCACCGTCCCATTGGCCGGGGGTCTGGATCCAGCAGAAAAGGAGGGAAATGGATTGCCTCTTTCTCTCCTCCTCCTGCCCTCAGTCATCACAACCACAGCCTCCCTGGCCTTGGGACTCGGACTTACGCCAGCGCCCTCCTGGGTTCTCAGGCCTTTCGCCTCCTCTTCTCCAGCTCTCAGACGGCCTGTTGTGGAACTTCATAGCCTCATCATGGTGTGAGCCAATTCCCCTAATAACTCCCCTCTCATTCATCTGTCTGTATCTGTGTCTGTGTCTGTCTGTGTAAACTATTGGTTCCGTCTCTCTGTAGAACACGTGTTAGGAAGATGCGGAAGAGACGTGGTGAGCAGGAGGGAGGAAGGAGCGCGCCCCGCTCCTTAGGTCAGGGGCAGGTGGACAACAGGCAGCACCAGGCTCAGAGTCCACCTTGGCAGCCAAAACTTGGGACAAGACCAGTGGAGAAAAGGGTATCTGCTCTGCTTTATATTAGAGACTAACACATATATATATTCCAGACGTATATCCGTACCTATATCTATATCAACTATCCATCTGTCTATGCTGCTGTCTATCTTCTCTATCTCTTTCTGTCATCTGTCTGCACATCTATCTTATCTACCCATCTGTCTATACATCTATCCATCCATCTATTCCAGAAGTATCCATACCACTTTTCAGCAAACATCTCCTGAACATGTCCTGTGTGCCAATACTCTCCTACATGGTAGTGACATTTCTCAGCACCCCCAGATCCTCCACGAGGAATCTGGGGGAAGTTGTTTGAGAGGTGAGCCCAGGAAACACCCTCAGGGGAGTGAGAAGTGTGTGATGGGGAAGGGAAGACAGCAAAGAAGAGTTATCAATGGAGTAACGGCTCAGGCAACTGCAGTTTATCCTGCTGTGAACTCTGGGAGCTGGGATAAAACACGTCCCCCCCAGAGAGTGAGGGATCTGGGGTATTTACACTCTGCTTCTCAAAGAACGGCTCAGGCAACTGCAGTTTATCCTGCTGTGAACTCTGGGAGCTGTGATAAAACACGTCCCCCCCAGAGAGTGAGGGATCTGGGGTATTTACACTCTGCTTCTCAAAGCCACTGTTCCCAGCATTTCCAGCCAGTTCTGCACAAGGGAGACCTGAGAAAGTTCTTGGGCACAAAGATGCAGAGCTGGCAGCTGGGCGTTAGGGAGAACACTGAAATGGCAAGGCCCATGGGAATGCTGGAAGGGACCAGCTCTGCTACAGGACGTGAAGATGAGAAGAGGGTACCTTGTGCCTAGACAGCGCGCACTCCCATCAGGAGATGAACAGGCAAACACATGCAGCTACACGAGTGCCCCACGCAAAGCTGGTCCCAGCCTCAGGGTCTGCTGTCTCCACTGAGCCAGGGTCCTGTGGCCCTGGGCACCTATTTGTATGGGCTAATTTGCAGGCAAGTGCCTTCATGAGCACGATTAATGAAACAGGTGTCTGGGGGAGGAAGGCAGTGGAGCACTGTATGGTGTTTCCCAGGGACTAGCCCCTACCTGCAATGGACTGAATGTTTGTGTCCTCCCCCTGACCCAAATTCATGCTGAAATCTTAACATCCAAGTTGATGGTATTTGGAGGTGGGAACTTTGGGAGGTGATTATGTCATGAGGGTGGAGCCTTTGTGAATGGGATTACTGCCCTTTTATAAGGGACCTGAGAGAGATCCATCATCCTCTTTCTGCCACGTGAGGACACAGCAAGCAGTCGGTGGTCTGCAACCAGGGAACCCAACCATGCTGACACCCTGATCTGAGACTTCCAGCTCCAGAACTGTGAGTAATAAATTTCTGTTGTTTTTAAGCCACCCAGTCTATGGTAATTTGCTAAACCAGCCTGAACTAAGACAGAAATCCTGAGCTAAGACACTACCAATGAAAGCCAAGTGGCCTGCCTTCCAGAGACATTTGGAAGCTTGGGCACTAGCAGTGCTCAGGTGGGAGCATGGACCCAGAGCAGGCAAGAATGGCACTATACTTGCATCGGCAGTTGACATCGCGTGGCTCTGGGCATCATAGTGAAGGGGGTGGGGTGCCACCTGCAGTTTTGGGAGCCCCCCAAGATGTGTCCCCCTGACCCAACAGCATCCTTATGTAAAGGGGTCTGGCTCCAGTGAACACATGTGAGACACCCCAGAGACTCCTGAAATGCCCTGGGAAGAGTTCGGCAGAGAATAGTTAAGTAGGAATAATATGTCAGTAACATGCAAGCGATCTGCCTGGTGAGACCTGGGGAAACTCCATTTTCACGTATTATGTGTGTCACTGGCTGAAAAGAAGAAAGAGGGAGAAGGGAAGGCAGGACGCAGGAGCAGAGGAGGAGCGGGCGAGCTGGACACTGTGCCTCGGACAGCGGCCGGGGTCAGGTCTGTCAAGAGGAGGGGATTAGCCCCTCAAGGTGCTTCTGACCCTGTGCTGCTACAGCTGATGGTACAGCTCTTAGGCTCTTAGGCCTGAGCAGCCAAGAGGATGTCAAAATGTGAAGAGCACGTGAGCGACAGGAACCCTCACTCACGGCTGGTGGGAATGCAGGCGGTGCAGCCGCGTTGCAAGACAACTTGGCAGTTTCTTACAAAATGAAACATGCGCTTACCGTACAACCCAGCAATCACACTCCTCATTATTTACCCAAAGGAGCTGAAAATGCATGTCCACACAAAAACCTGCACAGGGATGTTTATAGTAGCTTTATTTGTAACTGCCAAGACCATTTGGAAGCAACCAAATGTCCTTCAGTAGGTGAGTGGATAGATGGACTGTGGGATGTCCAGACAACGGAAGGTTACTCAGCACTAAAAAGAAACAAGCTATCGAGCCGTGAAAAGACACGGAGGAGCCTTAAATGCAGATAACTAAGTGAAAGAAGCCAGACTTGTTGTATGATTTCAACTACATGACATTCTGGAAAGGGCAAAAGTATGGAGACAGGAAAAAGATCAACGGTTGCCGGGGGTTGGTGGGGAGGGAGAGGCGGGTAGCCAGAGCACAGAGGATTTTCAGGGCAGTGAAACCACTCCATGTTTTGCTATTAATGATGGAACAAAAGTATGGAGACAGGAAAAAGATCAGCGGTTGCCGGGGGTTGGTGGGGAGGGAGGGGCTCTACCTGCCAGAGCACAGAGGATTTTCAGGGCAGTGAAACCACTCCATGTTTTGCTATTAATGATGGATGAATGTCCATACCTATGTGTCAAAACTCATTAACTGTTTAACACCCAGAGTGAGCCCTAATGTAAACTGTGGACTTTGGTGATAATGATGT